TGCGAAAGTAATCTGGGTTAGTAATACCAGTACTGTAACAGTTTATAATAGTTGCAATTTCGTATATTGTAGAGTTTAAAATAAAAATTCACAGAAGGTATATGAAATTACCTACATAAAGCAGCAATTCATCGCGCATATGTTTTTCGCAAAATGTAGATCAAGGCTGTCCAGTGGCTACTTTTAACCAAAGCGTAATGTGCGTTTTAGTTTTCTTTGACTGCATTCACAATTATTATTATTGTCATAAAAAGAACATAAGTTACATTATTATATGTATAACATTGATCATGAAACAACAACACTAAGAAAATACTGCCAAAATCATAGATCGTGACGATGATGGGACTGAACTGGAACGGGATGGATGACGTCACTTTGTCTAGATAGCATTATCGGGGGTTTAACCACAACATTGTTGCTAGCATGGAAACCTTTACAGGAAAAATAGTACAGTAATATAATTTACTGTACATTTAGCAAACACTTAGTAAGATTTCTTTTTGAACCCGGACTAGTCGTGTGGGAAAAATGATCACGATCGCTATTATAGTGGTTTGTCTGATTGCATTGTACTTCTATGGCACGCGAACCTTCAAATATTGGGAAACAAGGGGAGTGAAACATGACAAACCCATACCTTTACTCGGGAACAATGCAAGAAATTATCTCATTCAGAAGAGTATGACAGAAATGGCAGTGGAAATGTACTGGAAGTACCCAAACGAAAAGGTAGTGGGTTTCTACAGAGCAACAAGCCCAGAGTTGGTAATAAGAGACCCTGAAATTGTTAAGCGTATCCTGACTACTGATTTCATGTACTTTTATCCGCGTGGTCTTAACCCTCACAAAACTGTGATCGAACCACTAATGCGTAATTTGTTCTTTGCCGATGGAGACCTATGGCGATTGTTAAGACAACGTATGACACCAGTTTTCAGCACTGCTAAATTGAGAGCTATGTTTCCTCTTATAAGTGCGCGAGCTGAACGTCTACGAGCAACCTTAACAGCCGCTGTCGACAGTGAAGTACAATCCCTGGACGCACGCGATATTATGGCACGGTATACCACAGATTTCATTGGTTCTGTAGGGTTTGGGCTTGATTCTGATTCTCTTTCAGATGAAAAGTCTGCATTTAGAAAACTCGGTGTCGATATCTTTAACATAACATTGCCTGGCGTTATAATAATTATGTTAAAGGATATTTTCCCAGAAACATTCAAACATCTGCGTTACATGTACAGAGTTGAGGATCAAGTGATCAGTCTAGTGAACGAAATTCAAAAGCAGAGAAATTATGAGCCATCAGGGAGAAATGACTTCATAGATTTGCTTTTGGAGTTGAAAAAAAAGGGAACAATGGTGGGCGAATCAATTGAAAGGATAAAATCAGATGGTACCCCAGAAATCACATCAATAGACATGGATGCAGAGTTGATCGCTGCTCAAGTCTTCGTATTTTTTGCCGCTGGATTTGAGACCTCTTCATCAGCTACAAGCTTCACTTTGCACCAACTTGCTTACCATCCAGAAGTTCAAAAGAAAGTACAAGATGAGGTCGATAAAGTTCTTCTCAAACACAACAACCAACTTACCTACGATGCTGTGAAGGAGATGACCTATTTAGAGTGGGCTTTCCAAGAAGGAATGCGAATGTTTCCTTCTCTCGGATTCCTTGTGAGACAGTGCGCAAGAAAATACACATTTCCTGAAATCAATGTATCTATAGACCCCGGAGTAGCGGTGTTAATTCCACTACAGGCCTTGCATATGGACCCGCAATACTTTGACAGACCTGAAGAATTCAGACCGGAGCGATTCCATCCTGATGAATTCGATAGTAAGGAGAAGAAGTTTATCTATTTGCCGTTCGGTGAAGGACCTCGTGCTTGTATTGGTAAGTTCAGCTTTTTTTTTTAATTTCACTTTTTTATTCATATCGCCCCTTTCCCAACTAATAGTCGTTACTTGGAATTTTTATAGAAAAAAGTTATTTAGTAAATTCGACTCACAATTTCGTATTTTATGTTCATAATTCATTGATTTGTGAAAACACAGGTGGTATGGAAGTTGACATTGATATAAATAATTATAGTTTAACAGTGTCCGGCCAAGCCAAGCATAAAGCGTACAAACATACTGAAGGTATATTATACATTTATCCACAAGCACTTCAACAGACTAAACCAGGTGTAATACGTTTTTTTAATATCACATGGACGTGCACACATGGATTTAATAAGTCAGTCAATAATTTAAACGCGGTGACAGTTTTATGGGTCAATTTTAATTATAATAATTGTAAAATGTAACCAGATGTGAAAACAATAATTATTTGAACAACGTCAAAATAAATATTATGTACAAAAGTCAAAAATTAGAAAATGAAGTTAAAGATTAGTAATTTAAAATTATTTGCGATAAAAAATTATTATTATCGCCAAAACTGTATAATGAGTAATGACTGTATGTTATAAGTTAATAATATTTTGGTGTTTTCATTTTTAGGTGCTCGTCTTGGCTTAATGCAGTCCATAGCTGGTTTAGCTGCGATATTATCAAGATTCTCAGTGGAGCCTGGGCCTAATACCTTGAGACATCCCTTAGTTGAACCCAAGTCCTCAATTGTGCAAAGTGTTAAAGGCGGATTGCCTCTTATATTCAGGAAAAGGAAATTGGATAATCCTTTAAAATGATAAGTCTTATTAAAAAAGTTCAAGTATATTTTTTAATAAAAACCTACAAGCGTAAGTTGTTAACCATTTACAAATTTAAATACGGCGCAATAAGTTTTGAGAGATATTAAGAAGGAAAATGCACGAATGAACAATGTTCCTGTCGCGGTTAAAATTATTTTCCTTGTCTGTTTGTTTTCCTGGATCAATAGACAAGTTAAAGGAAATATATAAATCACAATATGTACAAAAACAAGCCTTTGGCTCTGATATAACAGTAATTTTGTGGACTTTTACATTTAAAATGGTCACATATAACATAAATGTGTTCAAAAACTTTCGAGTAGTTTTCCGCCTTAGAAACAAAGACCAACGACGTAGAGTCACGGTTAAGACCTGAACAAACTATATTTAATTTTTCACCCAGCCAATTGTCACAACAAAAGGAATTGGACTTTAACACTCAAGATAATAAACGCTTATCATTAAATCCAAAGTATACATGAAATCCCTGTAAATATTCTGTACCCACAGACTACCACATACCAGCGACTCATTTCCTTTATCAACCTACTCAAGTTTTAGTTGGTGGATTATTTCCATAAAATCTATTGAATCTATTTTAGCGCACAACTTTTGTACGTGTAAAGATTGTTTATTTCATTTATTTATTCAGAAAGTAGGCTAACTTCTCTAAGAACTTATGTCTATGTTAGTATACATTTGAATAAATTAGTGTATTCTACTACTAAAAATGTACTTATAAACGTTTTGAGTGACGTATCTCTTTTATCCCCCGATTTTAGGGATTCACCACGCTTGTTAACACAGAATCCACTTAAGGGCGCCTTCAAATTAGACGCTTATATAAGCACTACAGTGGCACCGCGCCGTTACTAATTTTCGTACAATATTAAGATGCGCCTTTGCGATGCGATCTTTGCAGTCACACTAAGTGAACTAAAAATTACAAAAGCGCTACAAACGCGCGGGCGTCACAGTTGCGGCACTGCAGTGCTTCCACATCTTCCACATCTAATTTGAAAACGCCCTAAGCCGGTCAGTAAAATGTTATAGTGTATTACAAATTATTGCATGAAAATGGCTGATCACATTGATTCAAAATCATTCTTGTAACTAAAAGAAATAAACCTGTGTACCTATCACAAAGAAATAAATGGATTGATTGAAATGAATGATTGAATGATTTGAAAAGCTATACTTCCTTGCAATAAGAGCGAAAAGACGTTACGGTTTTCGCTTCCGCTAGTACCGCCATTGCGACTCAACGTTTATTGCCCTTATCACATGGACACAACTTCACACGCAACCCTTTCCTGACCGGGTTAATCCGACTCCATGTAGATAGTCACCCTTACCCATCGGCGTTTCACACTGTTTCTTAACATAATGAACAACATATATACCATTCCAGTCCCAATACCAACATATAAATTATAAGTGGTATTAAATACAACACGTAGAATCATAATATTTTATTTCCATATATAATAACGCACACACTCAACATAGCCCCGCACTAGGAAAACCCTGTGTCGCGGGTGCCATGGACACACACATAGACAACCACAAATTACACCCAAACTCGCGAGAGAAATAAATGTAGGGCATACAAATATTTCTCCCGGCCCGGGAATCTAACCTGGGACCTCTGCGTGGCAGTCCGCCATGGAAACCGTTGGGCCACGGAGGCAGTTATATGTCACTGTTACGTAAAGTTAACTCGGCCGAACAATAGCTTAGATTGATAAATCTGTTTTCAACCAAACTGAAGATAAAACAAATACGAGTAAGTATAAACAAAATAACAATAACATTTCTGCTTAAGATAGTAAAAACTGACTCAGTTAACAACTATAACCAACATACCTATCCTAAAGTGTTGACATTTCTTTAAATAATGCTCCATACATTTTTTATTTCTTTTTCAAAATATTTTGGAAAGAATTATTTTTATGAAGTTTCAAAAATCTAAATTTAAGAATCTTTACCGGATTTTTTATTGAAAATATCAGTACGAACTTCACTCGTATAGGTATTGTACCTACTTAGTTCTAAAGATAATAATTTCGTTATCAAAAGTCCACGATCAATCAAATTCAATCAAAAGACTTTACACTGAATATTATGTATTGTAGTCGAAGCTAGACTATTTAGACCTTATCTATTTTTGCCGCCAAGCAGCGATGTAAGCCTTCGGTTTTCAAGGGTTAGGGTGCTGGTGAAATTACAGACACGTGGAACTTATGTCTCAGGGTGACGCGCGCAGTGGCAGTGCCCCTCCTGTATTCCTTACGTGCTCTTCTCGTAAACAAGTAATACGGATCGTCCGTATTATTTTATTAAATAATAATAATAACGCAGACACTCAACATAGTCCTGCACTAGGGAAACCCTACGTCGCGGGTGGCATGGACACACACATAGAAAACCACAAACTCACGAGAGAAATAAATGTAGACCATAAAAATATTTCTCCCAACCCGGGAATCGAACCTGGGACCTCTGCGTGGCAGTCCGGCATGGTAACCGTTCGACTACGGAGGTAGCTAATGACTAATTGTAGTATGTAGCATGTGTATTTTTGTGTGTACGACTTATAGATAGTTTAAATTGAATGGTGATCTCGGCAACCCAACAGTTTGCACCATGGGCACTGGATAAGGAGTTCGATACCGGGTTCGATTCTCAGTAGCACCAATTTGGGAAAAAAAATCTAAATTTGTTCTGGTTCGGATATCTGGGCAGTGCCCCGGAGTGTATTCCGTTGTTTTGGTACTCATACTACAAGGAATTCCCTAGCACATATAGCACAATTTCCTGTGGCACATTATTATTATTATATTTAAAATTTAAATTCAATTTTAAATATAATAAAATTATCAATAAATATGAAAGTTATTATGACAAATATTGTTATTCACTTTCAAAATGAGTAAAATAGTATAGGATAACTTGAAAATGTTGTATTGAGTTTTAACATATAATTAAATATAGCATGAATGAAACTATTTTTCCGGATTTAAATCGCGTGAAAAATAGTTCCATTTCCTATGTGTAATAATCGCGAAAACCTAAGAACTCGATATATACTTAAATATCCAAACAATTTTTTTCGACTAGTTTTTTGTACCATGAAATGGAATAGAGTATGCCAATATTCCATTAATATAATAGGTTAGTACATATTTAAATTAAATCATCAAAGATAATAAGAACATACAATAGTGAAACCCATTAAAATGATCATATGGGATCTATTATGCACATATACCATAACGAGAACCTATGGTACTAAATATAACAGCATCCTGGCTAATTGATATAGTTGATTATCTACAAAAAAGACGCCTTATTTACTAAAATGTTATCTAAGTCACGAGTGACAAAAGACATTTTAGTATTATCTGTATGTGTGTCTACAAAATATCAACAACAAAACCAGTATTACAACGATATAGTCGACGAGACGCTTGATATACTAGTCAGTCAGAAATAATCTCGTATCAAGACCGGTTGCGTACAATAATGATTGCATTTACGTTGGTTGTAATCGTTCTCGTCGCGTTATATTACTATAGTACCAGAACTTTCAAATACTGGCAAGAAAGAGGTATTAAACATGACAAACCTATCCCTATGTTTGGAAATAACTTGAAGAATTACCTGATGCAACGGAGCATGACTCAAATTGCCGTGGACATGTACTGGAAATACCCAAACGAAAAAGTTGTTGGATTCTTTCGAACTACCAGACCCGAACTGGTAATAAGAGATCCTGAAATTGTGAAACGGATCCTCACAAATGATTTTGCTTACTTTTATCCGCGAGGTCTGAACCCACACAAGACTGTGATAGAACCATTAATGCGTAATCTCTTCTTCGCGGATGGAGACTTATGGAAACTGTTACGACAACGAATGACCCCAGCTTTTAGCACTGGCAAACTGAAGGCTATGTTCCCGTTAATCAGTGATCGAGCTGAACGACTTCGGGCTACTCTTACAGCTGCTGCCGAAGGTAATGATAATCGAGCACTAGATGCACGTGACATCATGGCGCGTTATACCACAGACTTCATTGGTTCAGTGGGCTTTGGTCTCGACTCAGACTCTCTTTCAATGGAAAACTCTGCATTTAGAAAATTGGGATATGATATTTTTAACATAACATTTCCAGAATTTTTAGTAGCGATATTAAAGGACCTTTTTCCTGAAGCGGCAAAACATTTGCATTACATGTTTAAAACTGAGAAAGAACTAATGAATCTTGTCGATGAAATTCAGAAACAGCGGAACTATGAACCTTCGGGTCGAAATGATTTTATAGATTTACTTTTAGAGTTAAAGAAAAAAGGAACAATTGTAGGTGAGTCGATAGAAAAGATAAAGCCCGACGGTACATCGGAGGAAGCCTTATTAGACATGGATGCGGAACTCATTGCAGCTCAAGTGTTTGTGTTCTTCGCCGCGGGCTTTGAAACTTCGTCGTCAGCCACTAGTTTTACTTTACATCAACTTGCTTTCCATCCGGAAGTCCAAAAGAAAGTTCAGAACGAAATAGACAAAGTGCTCGCACAACATAATAACGAACTAAGCTACGATGCTATAAAAGAGATGAAATATTTGGAGTGGACATTCAAAGAGGGAATGAGAATGTTTCCGTCGCTTGGATTTCTCATTCGAGAATGCGCTAAAAAATATACGATCCCCGAAATCAATGTAACAATTGACGAAAGGACAGGGATAATAATACCACTACAAGCACTGCACAATGACCCACAATATTTTGAGAAACCAGAAGAATTTCGACCAGAGCGTTTCCATCCTGATGAATTTGATTCTAAGGACAAGAAATTTGTATATTTACCTTTTGGTGAGGGACCACGAGCTTGCATTGGTAAGTAAACAGTTATATTAAAGAATCCGCTATCCGCTGCTGCCGCTATGTTTCATATTTTTGCCTCGCATAAAAAGTCGTCAATACATCTACTATCTACGTAACTGCTATTAACTTATGACTAACAAATTAATTAACTATTAGAATGAATATTCTAGGACAGAATTCGAGATCAAAAATGTAAACAACAGATCACTACCAAAGCAGAGAACAAATAAAGTAATCTCCGCCCCTCCCTAGCTTTAGATACCGCACCACGCCCCGCACATTGACGGTCACATTGACTGAAAGAGAATAAGGCTGTCGGCGAGCCGTTTTCGCGCTAAGACGGCTTTGATTTTTGAATACAGTTTTCATTTATTCATTACGAAATTTGTCGTTAATATATAACATCATTTTACGTTACTATTTATAATGGTCGTGAATTGTGCTGTGTACGGCTGTTTCTAATCATCTAAACGGAATAAGGAGAGGAGTTTCTTTCGTTTCTTAAAAGATGAAGCGTAGTAAGTAAATAAACTGTCTGAGACTCATTCAGTTATTGTTTTCTTTAGTGCAGAGTATATAATACAGATTTATTATATCAATATAATAATAAGACCACAAGACGCCATAACTTCGTGAGATAGACAAGGGTTCTCGAATTTTCAATTTTTATATATACGTAATGAATATACCTAATTATTAACTAGGTAATGATAAAGTTGGACATGCAATTTCAAATACTTTGGTTACCTTTTTTAAAGGTACCTGTCGAAAGGGCTTTTAATATATTTTTTAAATAAATCTTCAATATTATTCTAGTTATTGAATTAATGAAAAATACAATATTATATCGATATAAACACGTAATGAACATGTGTAATTATTAGGATTCTATAATATAATTATATATAAGAGATTCGCGTTAGAGTTTTCGCTATGTTGCCGCTCTGGCCACGTAACGTGATGGGTAACCCTGCCACTTCACGCACACATTTGTGCATGTGCAGATAGCACCTTGCTGTATGTAGGTAAATAATTTTCGACCGTTGTATGGAGTGTCCGGGGTGTGACCAAAGTGACATTTCATAGATTTTTTTTTTAAATCAAATTCGTTTATTACAAGTTCTTAGTCTTGATATTACGAGTAGTACAAAATTATTGTAGGTTAAATATCCTTATTTATTTTGTACCCTTGTGAGTAAAACAACTGAAAAAAAATCGCTGCTTGACCTTACGTACTTTTGCTTCGCATACAAAAGAGATATCATTCCACAGAAAAAAATATTTGTCTACTTTCAGGTGCCCGCCTAGGTCTGATGCAGTCCATAGCAGGTCTCGCTGCAATACTATCAAGGTTCACAGTGGAGCCAGGCCCTACAACCTTAAGGCATCCAATGATAGAGCCAAAGTCTTCGATAGTACAGAGCATACGTGGTGGATTGCCGCTTATATTTAGAAAAAGACAATTAACTTAAAATTTATTGATGTGTTTGAAGCGACGAAGTTCTTTTCGAGAGAGTACACTAATTTTGTTATTTGTTTCACCAACTGAAAATACTTGGCTTATACTTGGTCATTCCACTAACAAAAGGATATTCATAACGTATGTCAATGTAAATGTTATATAAGTTATAAATAAAGCAGTTCTAATTATTATCGTATTTTTTATATTGACAAATGACTTTTTGTAATGTATAGGTACTTTTTATTGTGTGCAACAAATTGTCTAATTGTTGCAAAAAATTGCAAACGCGCTGCTAAAAGTCGCCCGTGTTACCGTGATTGCGTCATATTTAGTCAAATTACTAAGAAAAAACCCTATTGCAAATTACGTTATGAACTTCTCCTGTATAAGTTTTAGCTTCTTGCATGTAATGTAGCCAAGATTCACATTAATTTTATTAATGATAACATTAAAATAACATTATTTTTATTTATATATATAAATTCAGTTAAATTTTGGCCTATTGGAACTAGAAAATAAATTACCCACACATTTTTCTCGTTGAGTTTTTGTTGCCATAAATATTAAATTCGTCCCATATTATAAAAAATAATAATAAAATAAAATAAAATGTTTCTTTATTTAGGTATACACCCATTAATAAATTTAACATTATTAATTACATTACGTTACATTACATTACATAACCAATTAAATTGAATTTTATTTACCGAATATTATAAATATTAATGAAGTAAAATAATTAAGAATTACATTAAATTAAATACTTTGTTAAATAATTTAAAAAAGTACTTTGGTGTTTTTGTACCAGGCTCTAGACATCAGTGCATTTACTTATCTATGATACAACAAAAATGTTCTGGTGACCATTCAGAAATTTTCTGATACCAACGTCAACACATCTACTATCTACGTAACTGCTATTAACTTTATGACTAACAAATTAACTAACTATTAGAAAGTATACTCTAAGACAGAATTCGAGATCAAAAATGTAAACAACAAATTGTCACTGCCAAAGTGACATCTCATGGAGTATAAAAAAAATCTAATTCGTTTATTACAAGTAAAGTACAGTAAATGATTAGGGCCAGAAGACGGGGCGGTGCCGCGGTGCCACTAAGGTTACGGTTGGTGTACTTCTTTTTCCTTTCCACCTTTTTGAATTAGCCCCAGATTTTTTTACTTGATTTGACTAGGGAATTACTAAGTTCTCAACAATATCGGAGGCGTGCGCGTCATGTCACAAGACTAAATGACTAAATAAGGCGTGAGCTTCCAAGGATGATTGCTTGACATTTGAGAGGGTTGACATTGATGCCAAATCTTTGGAACCAAACCGAGATTCGATTAAGGTCGTCATTAATTAAAGCAATTGCGTAACAGATGCCACCGATATTAACCTCGGTGTAAAGTGTAACGGCTTATTTAAATGTGAGTTAGCTCGTTCAATCACTAACATGAATGTTGTTATACAAAATTAACAGATACCACATAGCATGAAAAACTAGAAGCGATATGCAAGTAGTTTAATTATGACGAGGAATTTGGTAATAGTACATTACGATATTAGTGCGTAAAGATGCTCGGCTCAATTAAGCCCTCGCCTTCGGCTCGGGCTAAAACTCCGCCTCGCATGTTATAACCAATACGCACGTATATCGTACGACGTTTTTTAACACATTTGCGAGGAAACAGAAAAAAAACATTTTATATTTTGTTCATTTTTAATTATTGAAACAGTTAGTGAAATTACAATTATTAAAATGATACGTCGCTGCCTACTGACTGGCGCCGCGCGGCGATTTGTTCGAAATTTGAATAGCAACAGCGCGCTGCTCACTAGCTGGAGTCGTGCGGCGGCGATCAGTTCCATATTTGAAATGGCAAATAATACTGTTATGGAATTTGTATGGACTATAACTTAACTATTTGCTTTGGTAACACACGCGTTTTTTATGACCCGCTTTACATATTTAAAACCGGTGGAATTACATCAGCTTTACGAGCAAGGGTGTTGAAAAATTATTATTCTATTATGTTCATATTTTTTTCTTATTTTTTTATTATAATTATTTTATTATAATTTATTTTATTAGAGTTTTGTTAAATTGTGTTTTTTAATAAATATAATTTAAGAAGTTTTCATTTTGTCTGTTTCAAGCAATAGTTCGAACATCGTTAATGTTTTTAATTGTTTAATGTATTTTGGTAATTTGTTATAGATAGTGACACCCTCATTTTACAAATATTTTTTTTCGTAATTTGTGCGTACAAATTATATTATATTGCACGTGGAAGGCGTGTCTTTTAGGCGTTCTTTGTGAAGTCTTGCGTCTCAATTTTAATATCTGCTTAGTTTTACTATAGAAATATGTATATTTTATTTAATATTTTACGAATTATTATGCAAGTTTGTATGTTTGTCTAATTTTCAATAAATTAGTATCGTTGCATATTTTATTTGTTGGTGTTAAATCAGTTTCTTGTGTGCAGCTTGAATAGAATCAAGATTAGTTTTCGCTGCCGTACCTCAAATCTCAATGAGGTAGACTATGTGTGGTTTCACAGGGGAGTTCTACAAATATTTTACATCTATTTTTATGTGGGAGACATTTGATGATACTTCGAAGTGTGCCCGTAAGGGATGGTAATTAAGATTTTATTTTATTAATATTTTATTTGAACTTCATATAACTATCTAGTACTGGTATTTTTTGAGATTGGTTGATTATTAACGTTTAGAAGATCATAATTAGTTATTGTTTTATTTTTGGTTATAAAAATCATGTAATTTGTTTTTAAAGTATTTATAGTCAAAATATTGTATTGCTAAGGTTGAACCAACAGTAAGGAAAAAGCGTTTTGACGCTTTATGCCAGAAATGCAAAATGCCAAACGGACAGAATGTCAAATTAACTAAACGCCAGATTCTCAAAATACCAAATGTCACTTCTGACTAAATGACTTCCTCCTCCTGACGCACGAACTAATGTCCAGTAGTGGACGTCATTCAGCTGAAATAATTATGATAATGAAGTGAGGTTCTGATGTTTTATTAATTTATTAAAAACTAAATTAGTTTTAACAGTAAATTTATATGGCGAACGGCTACGGAGTGGAAGTCCCCGCCTGTAGATTTGTTCCCTGAACGTTATAACTTGGACCTTTTCAAGGCGAGAGTGAATATTATTTAGGTACGCATGCTCCATCGTCGACCTCATCGTCAGTTTCCGTCAGGTGAGATGAAGGTCAAATGCACACTTACATTTGAATTTTTTATATTAAAATTTAAGTTTCCTCTAACTAATAAAAAACTGGTCTTTCATAAAGAAACTGATCTATCATAAAGAAGCTTGCTATTAAACACAACAAACTTGCTATCAAACGAACCATTGTTCGTTTGATAGCAAGTTTGAAATATCATTATATTAAACACCACCATAGATAATATTACAAGCGCGACTATCATTTTTGCACTCCACACTGCACTCCATAGTAGCAAAAAAAAAAAGCAAAGTTAGCGATGCAAACAAAGCACTTCTACTGTATTTATTATTCTGTGTCATGAATTTATTTATACTTTTTCGCATTTGCACGATTCATAAAATATGTTTCTTGTCGAATTCCATCGCAGAGTATAGTTCTGATTTTACGATTATTACATAATATTGTAACAAAAATCTAAAGCCATGTGATATTTTATATTTGCATTTAATTAATATACGTCAACCATAGTAAAATAGGACCAAGTAAGGCAACTCCCGCCTGTTCAACTCATCAATTCAATGCCCATACGTCACTCGGAGCATAGATTCCTTTTCTCAATTATGTTTACAACCTGTAAGGTCAATCAGTAAACATAATTTGAAATAAAATAATGTTCATCACATTGTTTCGTGCCACCTTTGTCAAATGCAATACTTACATATTGATATTTTTATACCAGCAACGGGTATATTTATCAAACAGAAATTAAATACTGAACCATTTTGAATTTGAGGCACTTTGTTCAAACAACCACAAACAGAACAATAAACACGTCCACTAAATAGTAATTTTTTTAAACACCGAGCGAACGCTTTAATTCTATAATTAATGGTGCGTGTGACGAACTGCAATATGCAACGCAGGGGCAATGCGAGATTATGCGAATGTGTGTGTACGCACACGGCGCACAGGCGTGCACACACATAACCCGCGCTGTTACGTTTATATGGAGTTACCATACTTATATATACCATACATATACTTAGTCGTATTTTATTATGCATCAATACTACGTGGAAATCACTAAATTCTCAAGTTTGTTTAAATAAAAAAGTCTGTTGTCAACATTGTACGCATTTTTTTAAATTACCTGCAATCAAAATCGTTATCACTGTAATCGACACTGCTGTTGTCAGTAGTTGAAGTGTGTGCTTTCCACATATTGTCGACAGCGGGCGTTTTCGTGCGGTACTGAACTTGGAATTGATAGTCTGCAATATTGTTACGCCGGCGAAGAGGGCATGAGCTCAGCCCGATTTTGCTACGACACAATTAACTTCATAAGAACAAAATATTTTTATGCTAGCTATTTCCAACGACCTTGGCGTCCCAACAGCTTGCAATGTGGACGCTAGACAAGGAGGCCCAGGGATCGATTCACGGTGTGACCAATTTGGGGAATTAGCTTTTCTAAATTGGTTCTGGTCTGGGTGTTACGGGTAGTACCCAGGAGTGAATTCCGTTGTTGTTGTTGTTTTTGTTAGTTGCACTGGTAGTACAGCAAATTCCCTAGTTTATGACCCGGTAATTTGTCTGGCTTGGCTTGAAGCCCAAAAAAAAGCAAGAAAAGCAAACTACTGGAACAATCTGATTCGATTGCATTCTTTGTCGTAATCGTTTATTTTCATTTAGACTTTTATTTTAGTATAACAATAAAAATTTATTTAGCATTTATTTTAAAATATGCAATTATGTAACTTTTGTGTGGTTTACTTGAAAAATATTGGTACAATTGACAAAACACGTTTGACCACCACGATATTCAATTATTTTTATGAAATTATTCCACTAGTTTGTTATAATTATGAATACAAAGATTTAGAAAAAAATCCTTCTATCCGGCTGGATTCGGATCAATGTCTTCCAGCAAACGTGTCAAACACTACGCCAACTAAGACACGGAACGAACTAGAGGATCTCAGGAATTTTTCTGTGTGCTTGTTGCAGATGTTTGTTTTAGGTTTTTATGGTTTTTAACGACTTTTTGCCGTAGCGCCATCAGCGAGAAACCAGTTAAATACTTGAATGGCTCTTGTTGCGAATTTTGTGATTATTTTTATTTATACGTAATATTTAGTTATCCATTTATAAACGAGAATATAAATTTATTGGTTTCCTTCAGTAATTTTTTGAACTTTCAAATCGTGTCCTCTCAATTCCGCAATTTTAATGAACCTGTATACGGCTGTCCCAGCAGCAACATCATTGCTTCACGTGACTGACAATCACTTTCAGTCTCGCTTGCACAATTTAGTTAAATTTAGGGCGCCATTGAAATAGACGCTAGAAGCGATGCGGTGGCATCGTCTGTGGCGCTGCAGAATATTTAAAAGTGCAGCTGTAGCGCCACACTTTTGCAGACTACATATTGCACGAAATATAGTATACATTGTATGAAAATAGTAGAGCAACTATCACGTCCTTAAATCGACTTCGCACTCAGGGAGGACGCTGCAGAGAAAATATGTGTAAATAGGGTTTCGGGGATGCTAGTCTAACCCAATGTGATTGCAGTGCCCACACAGTCCATGCAGCACTTACTGTTGTGACCCTTACACCCTAACGTGTACGAGGGAAGATCTACGCGACCACGGACTGCAGTCAAGGTAGCAACGTACTATTCAGGGTCATAGTTCTATTTTTTTTTTTTTTTTTTTGGGTATTTATTTGACTAGCTACTTTGGATGAAAAGCGTAAACACATGCTGTGCACATAGTAAAAGTTATAACCGTATGTTATTTTGTTCAATATATTTAAATAGAGTAAATAGAAGAGGAGGTTTTAGGGGAGAAAGGCTACTATAAAAATTTGTGGGACGAGGGATACAATCCGGAAGAAGATCGTATAAAGAGACGGGATATAATGCACAGTTAAAAAATATATGGTCAAGAGTTCCTTCTTCAAGACCGCACTCGCAAAGGGAGTGATCCCTTATCCTGAGATTAGCAAGAAAAGTGGGTCTGCAGTTATGTCCTAGGCGCAATCGGATGATAGTTGAAGTTGTTCTTTTACTGGCCTCGCGGAACTCGAAAAACCAAGGTTTCTTGGGTATTACTGGTTGAAGACCAGCATAATATTTGCCTTTTTGTCTGCTAGAAGACGACCAGTAAGTCTTCCAGTTATTGTGTAAATCAATCTTAGCCTGGGAGCGTAAGTCTTGAGAAAAACATTTATCATATATAATGGTACCAGAATGAATCGCCCATTTAGCCCATCTATCCGCTTGTTCGTTCCCAGGAATGCCAGAGTGTCCAGGAACCCAAACAAGAACAATTTGTATGCCAAGGTTAGAGCAATTGTAAAGAAGCTCTTTTGTTTTAAGATTGATTGGGTGCACATCTTTGCTACGAAAGGGGAATTTTAACAGATCGTCCAGGCAGCTACGAGAGTCTGTAAAAATTACAGATTTGTCTAATTTGTGGGATTCAACATATGAAACTGCCTCAAAAACAGCGATCACCTCACCCGAATATACGGACGCTTTAGAGGGAGATTTAAAAGTTAAGGAGATATTAAATGTGGGGATCCAGACGGCAGAGCCAACAAAATCATCTGTGGTGGATTTGGAAGCATCTGTAAAGATATTGAGCCAACCGTTCCATTTCTCATTAACGATTTTATTAAAAAGTATTCCAGCGTTAGGGTCATCTTTGACAATTCCTAAATTGGTAACAATGTTGGGTTTAAAAATTAGTGCATCAAAATCAATCAAAAACAATGGATTACCAGAGTATTGATTGATAGGGGGGCCGATGAGAGATTTGTTAAAGCTTTTTAAAAGGCATGGAGGGCTCTTATGTTCCCAGTATTTAGAAGTTGTAACAAGGTTCGCTAGTTGAGTCAAGTAAGGGGTGGGCAGAATTTTGTAAGATTTTGCAAAAGAAACGGTCGCATAAGTACTGACGACGGAAACATAACGGGGGATCTAAGCTCTCAACCTGCATGGCATTGATTGGAGATGATTTCATAGCTCCTAATATAACACGAAGACATCTAGCCTGTATATTATCCCAATAGTTAACAGCGGATTTGTTACAGGGTTCTAATAAAAATGAAGCGTAATCAAAATGACTCCTTATTACAGCATTGTAGATCAATTTTTGGGTATAAGGGTGAGCACCCCACCATACTCCACACAGAGCTCTAATAATATTTATACCCTTTTCACATTTATTTTTAATATAATTCAGGTGAGGGATTCCAGTCATGTGGGAATCAAAAAAGAAGCCTAGAAACTTAACCTTGTTGTTGTTGATCAGTTCATCATTTAGGAAAATTTGTATATGTGGGACACGTCTTTTTCTTGTGAATACTACTATTGAGCTTTTACTGGGAGATAGGAGAAGGCAGTGCTTAGTGAGCCAACCTTGCAAGTATCTAATGGCAGTATTTAGTTGGATAGTACATTCATCAAGAGACTCTGAGGAATAATAGAGTGCTAAATCGTCTGCATACTGTAGAATATCACAGAAGCAGTCAACAGATTTATCAAGGTCAGCAGTGTATAGACTATAAAGGATGGGGCTCAAGACAGAACCTTGCGGGAGTCCCTTCCATATCATTCTGGGGGGGAGAAGAGAACCATTGATACGTACTGAGATGGAGCGAGACATTAGCATGTTATAAATGATGTTAATCATCCTCACTGGTAGACTCAGCTGATGTATTTTTTGCCTGAGTAGCGGGAGATGAACATTGTCATAAGCGGCTGTCACGTCCAGGAAGACACCAACAAAGTACAATCCTCTGGTGAGTGCGAGTCTGATCTCAGTAGAAAAGGTACTGAGGCTGTCAAGAGTGCCCATACCCTTACGGAATCCGAACTGCGACCTGGATAAAAGTCCTTTGCTCTCCAATATCCACTCTAATCTATTTTTGATGAGGTGTTCCAATATTTTGCATAATACTGATGACAGCGCAATGGGTCTATATGAGCCAGGATCCCTTGGATCCTTACCTGGTTTAAGAATAGGGATAACAACTTGAAGTTTCCAGGAGTGTGGAATATCACCATTTTCAAAGACTTTATTGATAATATTAAGTAGAACAATTTTTGAAGAATTTGAGATGTTCTTAATAAAAGAGTAAGGGATACCATCGATTCCAGGTGTAGAGTCTCTTAGGTGGTTCAAAACTGAAGAAAGTTCTACAGAGGAAAATGGTTGATCCATTCTATCATTAGAGTTGGGGGAAAAGGAGGGAGGGAAACAGTCCATAGATGGGACTGAAGGAGGGGCCAATCTATTAATAAAGTCATCGATCCAAGTTGAGGGCTCATTACAGGAGAAAGTATCGGATACACGAGAGCCTGAAAACTTTTTAAAATTTTTCCAAACTAGAGAAGATTTTACACGAGGAGAGAGATTCTCGCAAAACTGAGATCAGCCAAGGCGCTTTTTTTTGAGAACAGCTTTTTCGATTTAGCATTGAGCTTCTGGAAGGACAAAAAGTTTTCAATAGTAGGATTATCCAAAAAGTTCTTCAGCTCCATTGCGTTCTAGAATAGTTTCTGTACAGTCGGAGTCCCACCATGGGGGGGAGGAGATGGTGTCTTTCTTAGATTTTTTAAGAGGGATAGAGAGATCAGCAGCAGAAAGCAGAATATTAATGAAGTCCTCATAGATTACAAGGAAATTCTCATTTGTAATTAGTGGGAGTAACCTAGTTTTAACTTCCACTAATGAAGAGAATTCATCCCATTTAGCCTTATTCAGTTTAAATTTAAGGAGGGGGGTTGAAGGCGGTGCCAACTGGACAGACTGAGCGAAAGTTATTATAATAGGAAGATGGTCACTGCCATAAGAATTGAAAAGTACTCTCCAAGAGAATTTGGAAATTAATTCAGAAGAAATTAGGGAAAGATCAACACAACTGGGATTTTGGGCGGGAGAAGTTCTTCTTGTAGGGGAACAATCGTTTACAACACAGAGATTGTTATTATCAAGCATGCCAATAAGAAAGGTGGCAGGAGATGAACAATGGTTAGAGCCCCACATTGTGTGATGACAATTAAAATCACCAAGCACAACAAGAGGGGATGGGAGAGAAGCAAGGATGGAGTCTAGTTCAGTGAAGATAGATTGATCAGGATGGGGGATGTATACTGAAACAAATGTTATGTTTAAAGCTCTAGCTGCTACGACATTAAAATTCGGGGAGTGAGAAGGAAGTTGTAATAGAGAATAAACAGTGGGTCTTTTAATAATTAGAGCACAGCCATCATATCCATTGTTGTTATCATCCCTGAGACATGAGAAACCAGGAATCCTAAAACGCGAAGATGGCTTTAGCCATGTTTCCGAGATAGCCAGAATGGTGGGCTTATAGTTATTTATTAAATCAATTATTTCATGTTTTTTATGACGTATTGACTTACAGTTCCATTGTAGGATTGGGGTCATTATTAATATGTATTAAAGAGTTTAATTTATTCAGTGATTGAATGACATTGTTCGGTAGGGAATCATCAAATTTAGAAATAATATTGATAAGTGTGTTGATAAGTAATTCAATAAGATTTTCGTTTCTGGAGGTATTGTTTGCTAAGTCTGAATTAATAGCACAGCCATTAGGTTGTGTGGACTGCGGAGTCATAATAAGGTCATTGTGGCTTGCTTTATCGAAACCAGATTTTGGGGAAACCCAGAGTCGGCGTTCAAAATAAACAGTTTTTCTTTGGGAGGAGCTTGGGGAAAGAGGGGGGAAATTATGAGGTTGAGAGGTTGTAGGAGAACATTGGGTTGCTGCAGGAGGTTGAGCTGTCATAGGGCGAGCGCTGTCAGCAAAAGATTTACGTACAGTCCGGAATCTAAGGGAAGCCTCCGAGTATGGGATGTTTTCTGTAGACATAACAACCTTAATAGATTTCTGTCTGGCTTGTTCAGGGCAAGAGGGATCCGTGGCCATATGGGGGCCACAACAATATAAGCACGTTGGTTGGGAGGTACCACAAGAATCTCCAGCATGTGGTTGGCTACATCTGAAACACCTGGGCTTTGAACGGCATTGGGCTTTCACATGACCAAAGCGGCAGCAATTGTTGCACTGTATGGTTGGTAGAGTATAGATCTCTACCGGAAGGGATGTATGATAACACAGGACTCTTTCAGGTAGCTCTTTGCCAAGGAAAGAGACCATTACTGTTTGGGAGGGGATCCAATGTGGTTTGTTATCAATATATTCTTTCCTGTTTAGACGTCTGGCCTTAATGGCTTGGGAGCCATTAGTGCAATCAATTGACTTGACCAGTTCTTCCATAGTCCACTCTATCGGAATATTTCTCACAATACCATTTCTTATCAAGTGAAATGTGGGGATAATTGCTTTGTAAGAATTCGTGGTGAGGAGAGAATTTTCAATAAATTTGTTTGCGGATATTGCACTAACAAAAGTAACTACAACCCGATTGCGCCCTGTAGCTTTGATACCGTCTTTTGCAATCCCATGTATACCATTCTTACTTAGAAACTGGGCAAACGTCAATAATTTGATTGTAAGACCAGATGAGGGGATGGACTCTTCTCTCGATACGTGAACTATAAATGGGCCCTTATCAGATTCACTATATTTTAATTTCATACCGTCAGCAAATTCGGGTAAGCTGTAGGTTTGTTGGGCAGATGCATTTGGAGGAACGTTTGAAGAACGTTTCGGAGGTTGCTCCGATGTAGTTTGGGAGGAAGATGCTTCACCACTGGCACGTTTTTTAGGCCTGGAATTAACATTTTGGGTGGGATAATGGTCGAAATCCATTTGAGAATCCGGGTTCAAGAAACCGCCAGTAGAGAAGCCGCCTCCCCCATCAGGGGGATTATCGTCGTCCATCACCAGTTAGTAACTAAATTTACCTTCACAAACACAACAACAGCACCACAAAGTATACAAAAAAGGCAACCAATTTCACTCGGAAAGTAACAATTTAAATTTCGACACGTGTATACTGACAGGAGCCAGACACTCGACCCCTTACGATTCCGTCATAGTTCTAAAATAAAAATGAAGATGAAAATAGCAGTGGCGCGGCTGCAGCGCCACTGAAGCGCTTCTACAAGCGTCTAATTTGGAGGCGCCCTAAGGAAAAAAACAGCTATTGTTTTATTAATGTAGTAGTAATTATCCCGCACTTCTCGTACTGAAACTTTTGAAATATATTGTAACAACATCTAGTGGCACAATATGGAACTATTTGAGAGGTCTCAAATAGTGACAATGAATAGGTGACAGGTGTCACTGAATTGTCAAAATAAAAGCGTGCAATCCAAACATCCCATCAAGTTTTAAGAATTTGACACATTTTTGGGCGAGAGGACAGACAAAAGGCATTTAAAGGACTCTGAGTCACTGAACAAATTTCCTATATACACTCCACTTCATGATGTTTATGACACTAAAACACACGTAACGGACAATGGTAGAATTGAGACAATAAATTTAGTCTCACAAGCCATTTATTAGAAAATAAACTTTTGAGAATTCATACGACGCAACATTTAGGCGCCGGCGGAAAGACCATTTCTTGTAAAATCCTTTATACTGTGTAAATGAATTTATGGACCTAAAAATGTAACGCTATTGAATATTTATTATTTTAAGTTTTTATCAAATTGGCATACTTTTGTATATTTGTTACCAACTTATGACGATCCTTGATGGAGAATGATATTTGATATGTAATTTAATGACAACACCACTATTATTAATGAATTGTTAATTTTCTACTTATTGCCTATTTTTCATCTTATAATTTTTGTTTGACGATCTCAATACAATTTCTCACACTTTGACGTGTACTGCAATTTGTACTATTATTATATTTGAAAAATAAATGAATCTGAATCATATAATGTATAAGTATACAATAAAATTACTGTTTAACAATACCTCGAATATATATATAATAAATACATTACAATAAAGCCTTTTGTAGAAAAGGCTTTCAACTGTCACAACAACGAATGGACAGTATGAAACTCGCAAAAAGACTTACGTTGCCTTACAAGGAAACACAGGATCCTGCCCTTTGGTGAATAAAGTGCTGCACGACCTCGAACCATCCGAATGTGACCGAGATCGTGATCGCGGTCTTGTATTGCATTTGACTCTGAAACAATTCAAAAGAAGTAATTTAGCTTTTATGAATTATTCACCTGAGTAACGAAGGATAAAAAAACTTTGCACATATTTTTATTAATGCCGGGTTCATGAGTACTTTCACTTGCGCTTTTCGCTTGCTTGCGTGACTCGCTTCGCGTATATGCAAAGATCCGTTGCGTACGCGCCGGCCGCACTGTTCCCGAGTCGCTCGCTTGCGCCGGCCGCGTCGGATTCCTTTGCGTTGCGTGAGTTTGATATTTCCACGCAAGCAACAGGGGACGTTTGCAGAGGACAGCACCACCAATCACAGAACAGCACCGTCCACGCGTCCAATACAACCAAAACAAAGGCAAGGCGCCGCGCATGCGTGCAAGTCTCTCCGCAACGCCTTTGCGCGGATGGAAGATTTTTACGCCGTGCACCCAGCCAACGGAAGCGAAAGACTCGTAAACCCGGCATAACATTATAAATGCCATCAATTTTACAAAATGATACACACTACTCCTTAAACCGAAAATAATACCTGTAGGCGAGTTTTTTTTTGTTTTACCAAGTGACGGTACGAACAAAAGGGACACGCCTATCCAAAGCTGTGCCACTCACGAGCTTTAAATCGCAAAGACCTGTGGGGCACTGCCACTGCGCCCGTCACCCTGAGATATAATTTGTTAAGTTCCACGTGCCTGTAATTTCACCCTACCCTCACCCTTCAAAATCGGAACAGCCCGCATTATGCTCACATTATTGCTGTACTTCCCTGGACGATCGCTTTGACAAGGAGCTCTACTGCTACTAGAAAGTTATTTAAAGTGTGGAGCAAAAAGGGGCAATCACATTCTAACTCATCATACGATCATACAAAAACAATTTAACATTTACGTCACAAAAAATTTTAGTTCCCGATACAAAAATAAGCGTGATCCAAATTTCATTTCTGTTGCACCTTGTATTCCTCCTTGCTTTTTGAACATGAACACGATTACCGATAACTACAAAGAAAGTCGTGGGAAAAAGCTAGTAAAGTATTTCTGAACAGAACTGCCTCCGTGGCCGAACGATTCCCACGCCGGACTGCCACACAGAGTTTCCAGGTCCAATTCCCGAGGCGGGAGAAATTTTTGTATGACCTACATTTATTTCTCTCGTGAGTTTGGGTGTAATGTGTGATTGTCTATGTGTGTCTCCATAGCACCCGCGACACAGGGTTTCCCTCCAACATAGCCCCATGTTGAGTGTGTGCGTTATTATTATTACCTTAAAGTTGGTGCACTGGTGCTAGTTTCAATAGCTTTAGCTACAAAATGTGGACTAGCTATCGCAACGTGGTAGCGCTATATGAACATTACCATTCTTTGTGTAAAACATACTTACTAAATTGTAATAATAATTTATGATTATTAACTTCTTTGACCCGATGGACCTTGAACCCATGACTACGCTGTACCGTAGCGCTGCTCTATACCAACTAAGCTACAAGTCAAGTTATCGAGTTGTCGAAATTGTCCAACGTGTTTTTGTTGTACCTAGATCTTTGTACGGCATTCAGTGCCGCTAGACATCTAGTGAGAGATTTTAGAACCTTCTCGCCGCAGCCGGTACCTTTACAGGTGCCTCAAGCTATCGTAGATATCGTTTTTTGATCAAATGCATTATTGAGATTTTTTTGTGAAATGACTAGTTTTGTTATGATTATTAATACAAAGATTGAGTACATACGAAAAATTCTTAGACCCGAAGAGACTTGAACCCATGAGCATCCTGTACCGTGACGTTGCTCTAACTGAACTACAGATCGAATAAAAACAAGGAAAAACTCCTTGGATCTAGCTGCACCAGCGACTGTTTGCCAAACAGGGGCTATGGTCCAGCGGGATCGAAGGAGTTTTTCTTCGATCTTTGCATCAATAGTAACAACAAACTATTAAAAATTAATATCATGGTAGTAAAAACATCACAATTATTAGTATACCTATTACATAGTATAGTATAGATATATTCAAGTGACCTGTGATAAAGTGGTGTGTGGCAGACTTGCTTTTGTCTGGAAGTATCCAAATCAGGACGTGTGCAAGTACACGCTCTGATCTTGGCTGATTTGGGCTGGGCGCCGCCGACCGAGTCCCACACCTCGTCTATACGCATTTTGGTCGTTATCTCGATTTTCGGGGATAGTATGCCCTAAAACAATTGAAAACCATCAAGTAATCCCAACAAAAACTTAATTTTCAAATATAAAAATATAATTTAATTTAGTTGATAATCAAATGTAACAATGCAATATAGTTGAAATACGAATGAATATACATAATTATACCAAATATTTCATATGTAAGTAAATTACACTTGAAATCATCACATGAATAATCTCATTAAAAGGAAGATTCCACTCTTTGTAATTAAACATTATTTATATATTTATCAATCACAATAATTATTTTAAATATTATAATGCAGAAATGTGACAATCCTGAATAATGGCTGTTTGTTATCCAAGTATGCAGAAGTATAATTAAACCCATTAACAAGCTTATGTATAAAATTTTTGTATCACTATACTGTTGAACTTGTCAAACATTTTGAATACCAACCAGAATCTTATTATAGAAGTGTATATATTGTCCCTGAATCTATGACTTTGTCCAGACAACAGTCAGTTTATTTTTGTTCCCTGTTTCATTATTATGTCTATCACTACATTTCATGAAAAAAAATTACCGTTCGTCATAAATAACATTTTCATAAATAGGTACACTGTGATGCCAGTGTAAGCATGTAATTTTATAAAGCTTATCTATCAGTGAAATCTTTGGGCCCAGATTGTATATAATCAAAGCAACACGATTCTGCAAGACAAAGATTTCATTAACCAAAGCAAACTGCTGTATGTCATTAAACTGTTAAAATAGCTAAAGTAAAGCAATCTAGCGGTTTTTTCGTCTGAATATTTTCGTAATTTTTTAATAACACTACTGTAATAGATTTAGAGAAACCTTTTTTCTTAGATAATCTACATACAGTCAAGCAGACTATGGGCAGGTGCGTTCAGGTTGTATTAGAAACAGAGCCATCGCCACCCAACCCTCCAGTTTGGCAGAAGCAATTTGTTCTGAGTATAATGCAATTGTATGAGTTGCTAGTTAGATGATTCTACTTTGCTGACTAACGCTTCTTTGACAACAGTTGGGATTTCTAACAGGGAACCTATTTGTTGGATTAAAACGTCTAGTTTTTGCTTCTTTTTAGAAGGATGTCTTAGAACAAACTGTTAGTTTGAGGGTAGGATTAGCTTTTCTTTCCATCGGTTTACATTTGCATAGATAGATCCTTTGATGAGCAATGTTGCAAAATTTTTTATCAATTCCACCAAATTGAAGAATTCACTGGAGCAGCTTAGCTAAGTTTGGCTTGGTGTAGCAGCCAAAAATATTAAAATCTGGATTAAAATAAAAAGTGTTACCGGGAATTGCTTAGAACGGCGCATGAGTAAATCAATGCCATCATTAGAACACATATGAGGTGGGAACAGCACATCATTCAAAGCTCCAAGGTACTGTGCCAGTATTGTACTCTGCCAGCTTGTGCAGTCTTGACACCATTGCACCAGCTCACAGTAAATTGTTTCATCTTCTGAAATACATTGGTAAAACTTGAGTCAAAACACATTGATCTCTGAATTATATCAGTTGTAAGACAGGAAGAAGGGTTAATAAGGCGACAGAACATGATTGGTGCATCAAGCATCGCACTGTGAGATAAGTAGGAAGTGTAGATACACTCCCAATAATGAGAGATCTCCCAATACTGTTGGTGAGAGAAGTTTCACTTTCATACAAATCATCCAAACTTCCACATGATTAAATAAACAAATAACACACACACACATTCAATATAGCCCCGCACTCAGGAAATCCTGTGTCGCAGATGCCATGGACACACACATTTACTAATGGCAACTTTTTGCTATGTTTCCCAATAGCTCCGAGATTGGAAGAAATGCAGATTCCTATGTTGGTTGGAGAAGTTTCACTTTCAAGGAAATCCTGTGTCGCGGGTGACATGGTCACACATATAGACAACCACAAATTACACCCAAACTCATGAGAGAAATAAATGTAGGCCATACAAATATTTCTCCTGACCCAGGAATCGAACCTGGGACCTATGCGTGGCAGTCTGGCCAGCAGTATTAACCATTCGGCCACGAAGACAGTTATTGGGTCAATAAAGGGTGGATCATGGTTAAGGACCCTTTCTTTAGTAACAATCCGTGTTAGGAAATGAGCATAGGAGCAGTCAGATAGAATACTTACTAAGTAAACAAACAATATTGCTCAGACTACAAGTCTCTTCAAATGTCTTGCGGAAGTAAAAGACATCTCGGAACTCAATTGGGAAAAGTGGAGGCAGCATGCCGGTTTGATAGCTAGTGCCAAGCGCAAATATTGTCAGTGACACACGGCCATCTTGACATAGCCATACTCCGGGGCATGAGACCTGAAATAAATACTGAATTCTTAGGTGTCCACAACTACTGCACATTGGAAATGAAACTATTTGTTCAGATCCAAATTATGTCAAAATATTTGTTTGAACCTAAATATTTTTTTATCAAACAGTAAAGAGCTCGAAATGTTGATAACATTTTGGGCTCTTTACTTGTCCCATGGTAATGACTGAAATATTGAACATGATTTCCAAATAAATATTATATTATTATATGTAGGTGAGAGGTAAAGGAACCTAAGTGCTAATAAGGGATTTTTATTACAAAGCAATTCTTAAAGAGAATAGGGCATAACCTTAAAATCAATCAGAAGGTCAAATTATATAATCATTGATTAAATAAAAAACAAATGACAAAGGTCTTAAGGTCTTTTACCAAACATGATTTTTAGCATTCTAATGTTTGTAAGAGCATCTAAATTCTAAAATATGGACTTAGTCATTTTCATCACACTTACTCGTAAATAGTATGATTGCATGGTGGCTAACTTGACTATAATGCGCCAAATAAAAAACCCTTGGGCGTCTTTTCTTTCCAGTACAGCCATGTTTGGTAAGGAGTTTTTTTATTTGTAGCACTTCAATAAATAGGTCAGGTTCAAGCAAGGTTAATTACACTTAAAATTAAAACATTCGCTTAAAATGTTATCTAAACAGAAATTTAATTGCAATTCAGCCACATGCTACTTAAATACTTATTATTAAGAATTTCTTTTAATTGATTTCAATAATTTTCTGTATTAAAAGTTAACAATTTTTTTTCATCATGGGTATATCAGTCTTTGTTTTTTACAACGTTTTAGTTAGATCTGTTGATAAAAAAAAAACCTCCCCAATTGTAATATCCCTCATATTGTTGTGTTGTGAACCACATCTATTAAAACAAGAAATAAACATTGAATTTATTTCCTCACAAATGAGATGAAAATCATTGCACGTATCACGAACAGTAAAAATATACAAAACACAAGTTATTAATGCCCTCAGTCTTCGACTTCGGACTTCTAATAGATCCTTGTTAGTAATTTCTTATTTAGTATCCCTATTACACAATGTACCACCTCTTACCTACAGATATTTGTTCAGTGGGAATCCTACTGCCATCCTAATTACCAGAATAAGAGCAGAATACAAAAATGGTACAGTCATTTGGAGGTCTAATGACGTAATAATTAAAATATTATATAATTTATAAATAATTTCTTTCCGAGTACAACTTAATAATTATCTCACAAACGGTCAAAGTCTGCTTTAGAAGACACTTCTGAATTAAGGGTTTCATAAAAAAATGTCATAACTTATGCACACCTAAAATCATCCAAATCCTGTTACAAAATAATGTACCTAAACGAAATGGTTATCTATCTCTAGAAACAGTAAAAATACATTTGTTTGAAAGTAAATTTTATTGCCAAATTCAAACTAAAACCGAATCTGAAACTTTAAAACTAGCTTACCCTTTCCACGTTTATTTCTACTGTAAGCTCTATAACTTTCGGCATTTTCCTGCTTCATAATCATGGCACAATAGAAATTTTATAATCAGGATTATAAATTCTTACGTGCAACACTATTTCTTTCGGATAAACATTATTAAATAATAAGATTTCAAAGCAGAAACAAGGCAGAAACACTTATCAATTTGTTGTTGACATTTCATATTGTGATGTGTAGGTGTTGTGATTTGTGACGCGCGTAATTTTCGAATTATATGGATTTGGCTATGGACACTCTGACTCGTAGGAGGTTCTCCCTCTACGCTTTGACTATTTATTTCGTTACATATCACCCTATTCAGAAAGTAACGTGACTCTAACGTTTCATGCTATGTGCTATAATGATGATAGATGACGTCTTTTTTTTCTTAATTTATTGCTGGCCATGGAAACAAAGTCCTTCAGCCGAAAACATAAACGCTTAATTATATTTCTGTAAATATGGCCACCACAAAGAGGATAGGCAATTTGAGGCGGCGTGCTTGGATTGCCTCGGGATTCCTTAGAATGGGCCGATACGGGTATTTTAGTTCGAGATTCGTATAATTTCGCGTTTTAATCTTCGAATAAGGTACAATAGCACTATCCTATTCCACTTTAAACTAGTTTCACAAAATAATTGAAAGTCAAAATAAAAACGACACTTTTCCCTCCAAAAGGTCCAGAGCGAATCTTAATTCGTAAAGACAACAGAAATGATACCGGCACCAGGCAAGGTTGTGTTGCCATTTTATGTAGGAACGCAATTAAATGTTACGAAATTCCTTATAGTATTCAAACCGTAGCCATAAAAGTACAAACAACAGATAGCTCATTCACTTTGGGTGTGTATTGTCCAACACGTAAAGGTCGTTTTCCAATTTCTGTTTTAAGAAGCATTTTATGTTCACTGCCAGCTCCTATTTTAATTATGGGAGATTTTAACGCACGACTCACGGCTTTTGGTTCAGGTAATATTAATCCTAGGGGAACAAAAATTATTGACCTGTTAGATGATTTAAATATGTGTAACACTGGTGCATCAACCACAGTCAATCGTCCGAATGAATCAGTTTCAGCTATTGATTCTTTCAGCATTTAGTTCTTCAACTTTAGCCGCTTCAGCGAAATGGTCAGTATATTCTGATGATACTTTGGGCAGCCTGCACTTCCCTACTATAGTTGATTTAACCATTACAGCCGATCGATATGAATATTCACAATGTTTTCAAAAATTTTTATATAAAAAAGCTGATTGGGTAGAATACACTAATAAATCTCGTTGTCTTTTGGAAGAGTTATTAATCGAAGAAAATGCTCTTGAAGCTTATGAATTTTTTTGTAAAATCCTAATTGATTTACGAAAAGTATTTAGGTAATGGACCTAAAATAATTAATAGTGGGCAAAAAATTCTAAAACCTGTTCCTTAGTGGAACGATATCTGCGCTAATGCGGTAAACCAGAGCAAATTAGCATTTTATAATTATAGAAGATATCCAACAATAGAAAATTAAGTGATTTACAAAAAAATCGATGCACTCAAAAAACGATCTATTAGAGAACAGAAAATTTTATGTTGGAAACATTTTTGCACCAGTTTCAATAGAAATACCCCTATCAGTACAGTTTGGAAATTAGTTAAAGTTTTTAATAGAAAAAATTCAAGTCCAAAACTAACGGTTTCGTAAACGATTTTTTAGATAAAATTGCATCAAATAGATCATCAGGTAATAATGACATCGAACAACTTAATGATTTATTTGAAAGTAATGACTTAAATGTTTATTTAAATTTGCCTTTCTCTGAAGAAGAATTTCATTTATACCTAAATAATAAAAATGACACCACACCTGGTATAGATGACATTCCATATATTTTAATTAAACGTCTTCATCGCTCAGCTAAATTAGTATTGCTGAAAATTTTTTATAATCTATGGCAGGTATCTCATTACCTGATACGTGGAGAAATATTGCCGTTGTTCCTATTTTAAAATAGGATAAAGATCCAAGTTTAGCCGACTCCTATCGACCATTATCAATATCTTCATGCATGGGAAAAATATTCGAAAACATGTTAAAAAATAGATTAGAATTATATGTAGAATCAAGGTATATTATACCTCCTGATCAATTTGGATTCCGTAAAGGTCGTGGTACTTGGTACTTTAGATAGTTTGTTGAAATTTGGTGGTGACATACAAAATGCTTTCAATAATCACAGTTATTTGATTAGTGTGTTTTTAGATGTTAGTGGTGCATGTGATAATGTCGATTTATTCAAATTGGTCAAAATTCTACATAGCTATAACATTCCTGGAAAAAGATCTAAATGGATTTTAATTTTTTTTATTCTCGAACAGTTTATGTTAAATTTGATCATACTTTATATGGCTCAAAGAAGGCATTTAAAGGCGTAATGCAAGGAGCAACACTATCACCTCTGATTTATATATTATACACTCCACAATTACATCAATTCCTGAAGTTGAGTAATCTATATTTTTTACAGTACGCTGATGATATTGTGTTGTACACATCTAGTAGAAATTTATTACACGCACAACAAGCACAAAACACTATCAATGAAGGCTTAAATTGTATATATCAATATTATAAAACAAAGTTAAATTTGGATATCAATCCCCTTAAAAGTTCTGCAATGTTATTTAGTAAAAAGTTTGATTTTAACCCTGTACATATCAATATAAAATATTGTTCTGTAAAAATAAGTTTAGTTGAGGAAAAGAATTTTCTAGGAGTAGTATTCGATTCAAAAATGCTTTTTGGTTCCCATGTTAATAAAATAGTGAATAAAATGCAAAAAAGTGTACATATAATGCGCCATTTAGCGAGTGTAAGTTGGGGTATGGAACCCAAACTTTAAAATATCATTTATAAGGCAATTGTTAGAAGTCACTATGATTATGGATTAATAGTTTTTGGAAAATTTATGAGCCCATCCCTATTTCGCAAATTGGAAGTCATTAGAAACAAAGGTCTTCGAATCATAACTGATGCAATATGTTCTACACCCATTAATTCTTTAGAGATAGAGGGCAATTGATGTAAGACTTCAATATCTTACAGAAAAATTCACAATGAAAGTTTTAGCCAATAGGCAATATTTTTGTTTGTTTGAAGATAACAATTTATTACAAGGGGAACGTATTAATGAGTTAAAAACATTTTGTAAGTACATAGATCATAATGAGCAGTGGGTACTTAGTACTTTGGAAATCCAGCTTGTGAGTCCTGTGATCTGCAAAGAAAAGCTTCTAAATAATGATGAATTTCTGTTGTATATTAGTAACAAGAAGCAACAGTATCGGAATACTTACACAGATGGATCGAAAACCAAAGTTAACGCTAAAGCTGCCTATTATGATTCGACTGCTAAATTTGGCCGCTGCTTTAATCTGGACAAGAATACTTCGATATTTACAGCCGAAGCTTATGCTGTATATGCGGCACTTCAATATTTATCAAACATCAATCACTCCTTTTTCCTGATCGTAACTGATTCCTTAAGTGTACTGAATTGCCTGGAGAGTCATAAAATATCTTACAAAACTAATATCTATATCATTAAAATCAGACAATATTTATACAGTTACTTCTCTTAAATCTTTCTTAAAGAATGTATGCATACATTCTTTCCAGCATTGAAGAGATATAGATACCTTGAAATACTTTTAGAAGATTACATTGAAAGTAAAAAGTTTTATTTAAAAGATAGGAAAAAAAATATTTACGATTTGGCTTGATAGATTTATTCCGATGCCGTAAAACTAATATGTATATAAAAAAAAATAGATTCTACAATCTAGATAATTGACTTTTCATTTCATTGCAATTACGCGCCATTTCGCGCAGTTTTATCACATTTTTGCCGAAACTTGAAAAAAGTACACTGTTTAAAATTTAATTTAAAAATGAGTAAAGTTCCATCAGTGATCCACTGGTTTCGCTTGGATCTGAGGATTCATGACAACTTGGCTCTTCGCAACGCAATAAACGAAGTATTAGTCTTGTTTATGACTACTCTTTCTGTTAGTTAAATTAATATAAGTATAATTAATGGCTCATCTTCTTTATTTCCAGGCAGAAAATCGCAAACATTTACTGAGACCCATTTATGTCTTAGATCCCAATATAAAAAGCAAAATCGGCGTCAACAGATTGAGATTCCTAATTCAAAGCCTACAAGACTTGGACACCAACCTCAGGAAACTCAACTCTCGCCTATACATCCTTAAAGGCAACCCTGTAGAACTTTTACCAAAATTTTTTGACCAATGGCAAGTCAAGTTCTTAACAACACAAGTTGACATTGACCCTGAAATTGTAGATCAAGAAGAAGCTGTTGAAAAAATAGCGGAAGAAAAAGATGTGTTTATTATTAAAAGAGTCCAACACACAGTTTATGATGTGTACAGTGTTCTTAAAAAGAACAATGGGGCTGTACCACTGACATACCAAAAGTTTATGTCCTTGGTAAATGATATTCAGGTCAAAGAAGCAAAAGATATATCAAAGGTTGTATCTGATTACTGTAAACCAACTGATGAAGATTTAGATGCATATGATGTTCCCAAACTTGAAGAATTTGTTGATGAATCCACTCTTACACCTTGTAAATATCCTGGTGGAGAAACTGAAGCCATTAAAAGACTTAATAATTACATGGCAAAGAAACAGTGGGTTTGTAAATTTGAGAAACCAAATACATCACCAAACAGTATAGAACCAAGTACAACAGTATTGAGTCCGTACTTAAGTCATGGATGTTTGTCACCAAAGCTGTTTTACCACAAATTAAAAGAAGCTGAAAGTGGGATGAAGCATTCGGATCCACCTGTATCTTTGATGGGGCAGTTGATGTGGAGAGAGTTTTATTATACCGCTGGGGCTGGAACAAAAAACTTTGATAAAATGGTGGGCAATCCCATCTGTATGCAAATACCCTGGGTGAAGAAAGAAGAATACATAAAAGCTTGGGCTGAAGGAAAGACAGGCTATCCGTTTGTGGATGCTATTATGAGACAACTGAAACAAGAAGGCTGGATTCACCATCTTGCTCGGCACATGGTAGCTTGCTTTTTAACCAGAGGAGACCTGTGGGTATCTTGGGAAGAAGGAGCTAAAATCTTTGAAGACTATCTCCTCGATTATGATTGGTCACTGAACGCTGGCAATTGGATGTGGTTGTCAGCATCTGCTTTCTTTTATAAATACTTCAGAGTTTACAGTCCTGTGGCTTTTGGAAAGAAAACTGATAAAGAGGGCTTGTATATTAGAAAATATGTGCCTGAATTGAAAAAATATCCAACGGCGTTCATATATGAGCCATGGAAGGCACCAAAATCTATACAGAACACAGCAGGCTGTATTATAGGTGAAGGTTACCCACATAGAATAGTTGACCATGAAAAAATACACAAAGAAAACATGCAAAAAATGTCATCAGCTTACAGAATGAATAAAGAAAAGAAGGCTATGAAAAGATCAATTTCATGAAAAAAAAAATGAATTAATTTTTGCTTGTTCAAGTATAATTTATATGTAAATCAGTATAAATTAAATGTTCCATGACGTTTATTATTTGTTTACTCGAGTTCTTATCCACATAAAATAAAAATTATACAGACAAATAATATTAATTCATATGAATAATATTAATACATATGAATTAATATTATATTATTATCCTTCCCATCTCAGTAAGTTTTTGCCTGAAAGTTTGTTGTTAGGTCAATGCCTGTTTATGCTGTAATAGTGGCACTTAACTGTATGATGATGATGAATGCTACAAAGAATAGTATCTACCTATTTAATTTTTTAATTCATCTAGGACCTATTCTTGCTTTTGTAATAAAGAATTTTGTGTTAAGTAGCCGATATTCGCCCTAGCCATAAAATGCTTGCTGCCGGACATAGGGGAATATGAATTATCTTATTTCTCCATACGTAGAAATACTCAAACCCCCAAATGAGTTATTTTACAACTTCATTTCCCACAAAATCCCCAATAAAATTTGTAATTCCCCACACATTTTATTAAGTAGCCTAAAATCGCCTTTCCCCATTTCAAATATTGCCGAGTCGCCGATCACTTTTTTAGTCGCCGCGCGACCCCTCAAAGTAACCTAACTGGCGAAAAATCGCCTAATCTAGCGACAGTGCCGTGATACATACGTACTTAAATATGTTGACGATTTGTGACTTGTCTTTCAAGGAATTGAAACTCTTCACCGCGCGCCGCGGGTTCATATCCTTATTGAAAAATTAAATTGTTTATATAAATAAGCTAATAAAAATATTAACACATTTTAAATTATACATATTTTTTCCTTTAACTACCAAAAGTTTTAATTTTTATAATAATTTGTAACATAATTTTCACTTGACAAAATCGTGAGAATTACGTGAGTTTTCATGGTGACTTTTCTGCTTGCAAATGATTAGAAAATTACAAATGGCTTCCGTTTTCAACTTTTGGACGTTCTAATTCATTGGCATGGTTTTATAATCAAGGTTCGTGTAATATTTTAGTTTTTATTGCTGTATTAGGTCTGTATAAAAAAACTTTCAGATCATATGGGTATAATGTAAACGTACGGTTTGTCGGATTAGAATTAACCTTGCTAATGTATAACGTGCCGGTTATATTGTAATTTTCGGAAGTACTAAATGTGTTTGTTTTTATACAGTATGAGGTTTCACATAAAGTACACGAGTCCAATTCATTGATATCGCTAAATTGGTGATCCGCAGAGTCTACGAAACAGTAATTTTACATGTCAAGAATCCGGACATATTTTGCATGTAGATTTTATTGGTTTACAGAGGTTTGTGTTATCGAGGCGAACGTGTTCGATTGGATCACTAATTATAGCAGTATTCGGTAACCATGGGAATACAAGACTTACAAACGTTTTTGGAGACCGAGGGAGTCGGTGTGGATTTATTTAGAATCGCCCGGAATCACGCCGGCGGGTTCCGTCTGGTGCTCGATGCGGAAGGGTGCCTTGACCGCCTCTACGGCGGATATTTTTCAGGTAAATTGTTTTTATTATTAACTTTTCTATAACAACAACATACATCTTACAGGAGTGGGCACATGCATAAATTAATCAACAATATTACTAAATGCCTATTAGTGAAATAGAATTTTCAACATTTACTTTAAATACTGTAGAAAGTTTTTATGATAAACTGTATTATTTAATTTAGGCACTGTTTGCTCTTGAAAAAAATAATACCCTGTAGCAGAACTTTACAAATTTTTATTCAAAAGCAAATGCAACTGCCTCCGTGTCCGAATGGTTACCATACTGGACTGCCATGCAAAGGTCTTGGGTTCGATTCCTAGCCTGGGAAAAATATGTGTATGGCCAACATTTATATCTCTCGTGAGTTTGGGTGTAATTTTGTGGTTGTCTATGTGTTTGTCCAAGGCAGCACAGGGTTTTCTTAGTGTGGTGCTATGAGTGTGTTGCGTTAAAAAAATGGTATTTCTGTACAGACTGGGCCTGTGGTGGACAATGGGCACGCTGTGTCCAATTTTTGACCACATTGGCCCAGGCACTGGCTGAGCATCAAGTGGCCCTGTGTGTCTGCTTCAATGGGGCTCATCCCACTCCCCCAGCTCTTCCTCACCACTGGATCCAGACCCAAGCCACATATAGACAGAGGGTTAACTCTGTTAGTATAACATTTTAGTTATTTTGCTGTAGGTGGGAGTTAAGAGAAGTATTTTATTTACTAGTTATTTAAAATAGTGCTTATAAAGCTTAAAAAAACATGACAATGTCCACAAAAGGGACGGTCTAAGGCAATGACCACTACTCCTTGTAAGGTCTCATGCCTATGAAATGTCATTTGCCATTCATTATAATCCACTATCAAATATATATAGAATGCTGATAAAACTAGTTTCTTACTAACTGAAGGTTATAAATTTGTTTCATAAAGGTTGTAGGCATAATGATATGCTTTTTCGTTAAAAGTGGTGATTAATGACAAAATCAATTTATTAATTCCTAGTGTATAAATATATTATACATTTTTTACAAGCAAAAAACGAAAGGAAATTTCTAATAACATCAAAATGAAAATTCACTTACAGGCATGCATATGTTTTTTAAAAGTTAACACTGCAGGTTAGCTGATGAGGATACAGGTTCGAAACAGGATAGCATAAATTTAGAAAGTAAACTTTTTAGTACATTCCTTGTGTATATATCATATGTGGTCATTTTGACATGCAAACAATACATGCATGCATCCCAGGTAAGGCATAACCTTTTGTAAACTTAAAGGGTTTATAAAAATTTGCATGTGTAAGCAAGATCATCATTATTTGCTTGCATGTATGGACCAAAAAGATTGTGACTAAGCATATTGGAGGTAGTGCAAACCTGTGCATAAACTATTGGTAAAAGGCGCGTTTCTGTAGATCTTACTCTTGTTTGACACTCCATGCGAAACAACTAAATTCTAAAAAGTGGCATTACTTGGCCAAATCAAGAAACAATGTCAAGTATGAAGCTTCATTCGCATCATGCATCTTTTAAATTGGCAAGTATTACTTATTTATTTATTTATATATTTACAAGTATTACTTATTATTATATTGACAATTATTGTTTTGAACGGATGGTGGACAAGAATGGGAGTAGACCCCTACACTAAACCAAATTTTACAGATGAGGGATTTAACATTGTTACTTTGTTATTTCAATGTCGGACTCATTTTTGCACAGTAAGCATTAATTTATGGACTAATAACAATAGATTCCCGTAAATCGCGCTAATTTGTTTGCCACTACATTTACGCGGATTGGAAATGACTATGAAAACTGAAATGGAAACTCTTAAATTCAATGCTAGTTATGCGTAATTGCGCCATCCTCGACGATATCCTGGATGACTAGTCAATGTTGCCAGATTGTCATAAAAAATTGTATGTGGCGTCAAATTCCGATTTGTAGTTGCACAGGGAATGTATTAAATTAATTCAGGTGGGATGCTCTGGATACTGCCCTGTAGTCTCATAGTACAGTGAATTCTCTTGTTTGAGACAAGCTAATTTGTTAGTTATTAATTGGTGTGGTTGTTTGGCACATTTTATTATGTTATTAATCTAGTTTATAGTATAGAGTCTTAGTTGAAATGGACAGTTTTGTATGAACAAATGCATTATGAATTAATATGGACCTTGATCATATTATATTCAGGTTCTGCGGCACATTATTACCAAAGGCACTCCACCACCAAAAGTATGGTGGGTCCCACCAATGGGATTGCATTCCTGCCTTCGAACTGCAATGAGATATCTCAATATTCCTATGGTAAGTGATTTTAATTATTATCCATATCTAATTACTGAAAGAGATTTATCAATTGTGATTAAATAAATATAAATATTTAGTAACATCACATATCGACTGTGAACTGGCAACTGGTACTATCTCCATTTTAACAACTTTACATGATGAAGAAAAAAATTGTTTGCGTCAATTATATAGATAGCATTTGGTTTATTAAATAAAAATACGTAGTGTGTGTGTAATAAAAATATTTAAAAACTAGGTATTTTTATTTAATAAGTCAGATGCTATATAAATGACGCAAACAACTTTTTTCTTTATCCTGTAAAGATGTCAAATTTGAGATAGTACCGATTGCCAATTCACAGCCAATATGTTGCTCTGATGCCAAAGTAAGCAACTAACGCATTTGTGTTATGGAAATCGGAAACAACGGCTATCGACTATATTTACCGTGGCGATTTACCAGCCATTGATCTATTGTTATCACCACTAATTGTAAGTCGGAGCTAAGAAATATAGTGTTAAAGGACTGGAGGATTTTCTTGACTTCGATAATTTGGTTGGATATCCTTTGGTTGTGGCCTGTGCCTTCCCAGGCTTCATACCATAGTAAGATAAGTATACTAATACAAGTATCTCTAACTCCATACTGAGGCACGGTTATGATGCATGTGCACCCGCCGCGTGCCGTGTACGGGCGCACACGTTCGCACTCGCGTTGCTTAGACCTTGTCCAAAAGAAGCGAGTCCGCCGCGAATCGGGTCGCGCCAATTAATACGCGCGTCGGCAATGTACAGGGCGCTTATACATCACGGCCACAAGCATCGCGCGTGTTTAAAATTCGCACGTAAATCGCATGCAATACGCGCGAGTCGCGATACTAGAAACTCCTTAGACCTTGTCCAGAAGGAGCGAATTCGCCGCGAATATATACGCGTGTCGGCGAAGTACTGAGCGCTTACACATAAGATAAGATAAATTTATTTCAATATAAGTTAATCTAATATAAGTAAAACAAATGTAAATAAAGCTATCATAGTATTCAAATAATAATTAAAAAGGGAATCTAAATTATACATTCTTCATACATTTTACATTTTAATATTAGCATCTAATGTGTAATTGCGATGCCTAAACTAAGTAAAAGTATACCTGTATTTTACATATACTTCTGCATGACGTCCACAAGCATCGCGCGACTTTGAATTTCGCGCGTGCATTACGTCAGACTTCCAACTCGCGTGAGTCGAGATACTAGACACTCCTTAAACCTTGTCCAGAAGGAGCGAATTCGCCGCGAATTCATTCGCGCGTCGGCGAGGCAATGGACGTTTATACATCACGTTGCACGAGTTTAAAATTTGCGCGTAAATCGCGTGCAATACGCCAGACTCTCGACTCGTGCGCATGACGCGAGTGACTCGTGCGATTCGAGATACTAGAAACGCCTTGGTTACGTCCAGTTTAGGAAATATCTACAGATTAAATAGAAAAAAAAACATCAAACGATTTCATGGACATACGAAAGTAATTTTTAAAAAAATGTTCTTGTGCTTTCTTCAATTTTGATACAAAGTTACAAATGTACTACGTGCCATACTATAATATACAATTGATGTACTAAGTACAATCTGCTTTTCCTTCGTTTTCGTCTCTTCTAGTGACGGTAAGCTAGCCATAACTCGACCACTTCGTCGCAAGTCTAAATTTCATACTGACTAAATCCGTCTTCAAACCCTCCCGCGTCGAAAACTTCTGGACGCGCCGTAAATTTGCGGACGATTCGCGGCAAATTCGCTTCTCCTGGACAAGGCATTGGTCGTCACACGCGCCTTTCATTATTTTGCGAATGTGAGCGTCAAGTCGCGAGATACAAGCCGCGCTGATACGTTTGCAGGGAGTTAACATACTTGTCCTGTATGAACATAATATAATTATTACGCCCTTTGCTTTTGGTTACTTTGTAAATATTTATTTATGTACTCTTTGCAATACTGAAAGCCTTGATTGTTAATGGATCATCATCACATACACATCAAGATAATATAGTGATGAAGGTTACCTACTTTTTTTGTATTTATTACTTCTTAAACAAAAACTCGTATTTTTAGTGGTATAGACGGCTTTATATGTGCCTTATGTTACAGAAAAGCCAACGAAAATTATAGTCTATCTAGGCAAATTCCAGTTTTCCAGAATATCGACATTCTGTATTTTATATGTACTTATTAATAATAATATTAATTGCAGACATTATAGTCCATATAAATGATAAATTACAGTAATGAAAGAATACATTTACATAAATTACAATAATTAGCAGGTAAAACATTTTAAATTAAGTTTGTTTTGGTTGCTTGTACGAGTATTAAAAATAACATAATAAAATTATTACTTAAATATTAAAAACACGTCAAAATTTGGTTTTAAAGGGAAATATATTTGCATCAACAAATTACCACTCCTTGCACAGATGGTGTCTTCTGATGATCACTGCCAGGAAGTAGTTGGTCTCTGCCGTGAGAAGACTTATGCTGGCTTAGTTGGGTGCTCTGGAGAGTATTTAGTTTTCCAACCACCCAGATACTTCAGCTCTTCACAGCTCAAACTTACGTACAGGGTAAGTTCAAGTATGAAACCGTTTTGCAGTCAAATGAAGATTATTAAACGATCGATCGATGTGTATGTTGTGAGTAGTACTTGTGTGATGTTATGTGTAACGTAGATAATAATGTGGACATTCCTTCCTACAAATCCCGGAACTTCTCGAAACTGCTTACATTTGAACATACGTATTATTTAATGAAATTTGCTACAAATTATTGTCTCAAAAAATAAAACAAAAAATATTTTGTAGTATAGGTGCGTACCTGCTCTCAAAAGGTTACTAGAACGCTTTGCACGCATATTTCGGTGCAGAAAGAAATAACTGTTTTCTCTACCACACAGCATAGAAAGCAAAATACGACAAACAACAGAAACCATTGACGTTATCAAATATTGGCGGTTTCTGTTGTTTGACATCTTGATTTCTTCTTTACTAGAGAACAATTACTTTAGTAAGTCCATATGTTTAAACATTGTAATTACATGTTATAATGAATAACTATAAATTAAACTGAATGTACTTGTATTAATTTTATTCGCCGCCTTATTTTATATGCATTGATATGGTGAATTATGAATACCGGGATTTTTTTTTGGTCATATCACGAAATGGGTACGAAATGTCCACACTAAGAATACGTTCAAACTTTAGGTAACTTAACTCCCTCAGTTCCGATCACTGGTTACGATACATGACCAAATATGTTTTTATTTTATTTTCTATTTACTTTATGAAATATACCTATATTAATATCCAGCAATCAATCATTCAACTTATGAGCTTGGTAGAGTAGGTAAGTAAGGGCTCGGGCACAATAACGATCGTATCAACCTTTATTTGAGTTACATCCCGAGATCCACAGGCTTGATGCATTGTCTTAAAATGTGTCCTACGGCTTGGAAATATTATAACTCTTGTCCTTAGTTATTTTGCCATATTATTGTCAACTATGGCTATATTAAGTCGCTTATTTTAGTCGTCATTGGAGACAAAAGAGTACATGGTTCACGAGCTGCCAAAACTGCTGGACGTGCCACAAGACCGGCTTTGCTTGATGGCCGCGTTGCTCGGAGGCACTATTCTATCGGAACAGAGTCTTACTGACTTTTACAAGCGATTGGGGATCACACAGAAAAAGGTACGCATAAATTAAGCCTTTTCCTTTAAAAATTTACTATAACTATTAAATGTCACAGAGTTTTACACAGCTTTGTTGTAAATTGAAGTTTACGACTTTCACACAGGGTTTAAATAAACTGACAGCTTGTTAAGTGTGTGGTGTATTCGTGATAAAAATAATAATATATGAATGTTTTACAATAAAAAATTTATTAATGCTATTTTTTATTTGGGGTGCCTTCATTTCATGCCAAGAAGATACGCATAGATTGCGGAAATTATCTTGAAAATTATGTGCAGGAGGTAAGTGCGAATTGGTGTTGTGTACTTGGTGGCCATCTACCAGATAGTACAGTAGTGTAGTGTAATGTAATGTGTTCACACGAAATGTGCAGTATGTGTACATTCCAATTTGAAAAAGTTAGGTAGGTGTAAATTTACGCATAAAATTATAAAAGAACACGTCTTGCCGTGTCAACTCCTTTGTATTAAACGTGTAAATGACGTATTTTGTGTTTGAATTTTTCCGTGACAAAATATTATTTTCTTAATTTTGTTTATTACAACGATTGTATAAAAATATTGTTACGCTTAGTAATAACTTCAGCGTAATTTTGCTCAACCAGATTCAAAAGAAAAAAATCTGTCAATACTAAAATGTTCAGTATTTTTTAATTTGTAATTTAATTTTGAAATTAGATAGCATGCAATGTAAATAGGTATGAAGTGTTGGACTGCACTAAGCGGAACTGCGTTACTCTTACCTTTGTATCTCCAGTATGTCTCCAGTACTGCCGCGATATTATGCGGTAAATAAATAAAGAAATTTGGTAGCAGGTGTGCTTTATTAAGCATTATATATTTATATATACATCTAAGGATCTCTCCCGTGATATACTGTCAGTTTCTCCTTATGGTGCAGCTGGTGCACTGTTAGTTAGATATATTTTATATATTGCACTGGTCAGCTACAATGCATTTCAGCTTTGTGTGGTCCAATAGTAAAGGTTATTAATGTTGTAAATCATACCAGTGGGCGCTGGAGAGTCCTAGGGGGCGGTAGCGTCGGATGCAATATTGGGGGTTGATGCTGTCCAGGGGGTGCTACTGCATTTAAAAAAAAACCTAAATTATCTATATAAACCACATTACATGTCTAGGTTTTTTCCCTTGTGGATTTTTGTGTTAAGTTAATATAAAAAAATACGTGTTTTCAATTATTTTTTGTGGTGGTGGGCGTTGGAAATTTTTTATCTTCCCTAAGTCGGTGGTGAGCTAAAAAGTTTGGGAACCTATGTTGTAAATGATTGTAATAAACATTCAAACTCGCGGTTTAAGAGCTTACATTTTTTTGAATACGCTATTTTCTACCAGCAATGTCCCCCCGAGACTCTGATCAAGAGCGTGTGCCACTTCGTGCGCGAGTTGGCCTCGGCTGACATCGACGCGGCCTGTGTCGAGATCTTCGGAGACCTCAACGACCTGCGCGCCGCCAAGCTCAAGCAAGCCGTGCAGTACTACTTGAATGGAACCAAGGATGGCTTCCTCAAATACAGAACTGCTTCTGGCAAGTTTCACCTATACCCAGTATTATATCTCAACTATAATGAGAATTTACTTATTGTACTGTTCATAAAATAAATCTTATTATTTATTGTAATATGTAGTATATTAGAGCCAGCCAGATAAGTATGAATTGATAGTAGATCTCATAAGTTATGATCTTATTGATTGCACGTTTTTTTATGGTATACTACTCGCCTGTCCGTAACAGTTGCATTGCCACTCAGAGCTTTAAATCGCAAATATCTAAGGGGAGGAGGGACTGAGCCCGTCACCCTGGGACATAAGTTGACAAGTCCCATGTGCCTGTAATTTCACTAGCACTTACTGCTAGGCGGCAGAAATAGGTAAGGTAGCAGTACTTCCGTGGACGAACTCTCACAAGGAGCTGTACTGCTACTAAAATGTTTTCCACATTGCACCAATTTATTGAGAAACACAGGAATGTGTCTGTATGATGTTTATTTGCTCATAGGGTATGGATAACTCCAAGCTTATGTAATCGCTTCTTTCCAGGACGTCGTCCGAAAACCAATAAAAAGAACCAAAATCAAAAGCCAGACATGAGCCCGCCTTCCACATCGGCGGATATGGACACCACCAAGCTAGCGACCGAGTCGACCGAACATGAGGTTTTTGTCATGCATTTCGCACCTTACTTTCGCAGCAGTCATCCACGCCTTTTCCATCAACACCATTGGCATCCATTGGCATTACTTTTTTGCATGGTCATACTAAAATTAAAAAAAAAAAAACAAGTGCGGGAGTGTTCCTATTTTAAAATTTTGTTTTCCCTTATTTTCATATTACTTTTTATTTACTCATAGTTAATACTATTTATTATTATTAATACCATAATTTTTCAATCTGTTTATTTACCAATTTAATTAATTTTTATTTTATTTTTTATCATCACTTGAGCACTTGGAACAGCTGAAAATGGCAATGTATTACAGCAAAAAGGCTTGGAAGATTACAAATTGGCTACAGCGAACGCGTCAATGAACGCCGACTTTAGCGAGGAGCGCGTCGTGGATCTCAACCATGCGATCGCGAACATTTCGCTGGAAGGAGGTGACGTCACCGCCAAACCTCAAGCCGGCGCTACCGAGGACAATAAAAAGCAGCAGCCACCGGTTAAAGAGGTTTGATTATAGCAATTTAAAAGAACATTATGATCAATAAACTTTGTTATGTTACTGAAAATACGATGTACAGCTGAAGATGTAGGAAAGTTTCGTTGTTAGTGACTCAAAACAAAATAATTAATTTTTTGGCTTAATCGTCAAGAAAATAAAGAATATTTTACATTTTATTGTAAATAAAATATCGAGCTTTTCATATAGTCAATATAAATTTCGTCGGCTTCTCGCGCTACATACACTTCAGTTTTTTAAATATTTCTATTGACTTAGCGATATTTTTCGCCATTCTAGAAAGCCGTTGATATCGTTTGATAGATTTTTATTAGCTATAATTTAAATAGTCACATAAAGTGTGACTGTAAGTGTAAATTCCAATTTGTATATTTTTTAACCGACTTCAAAAAAGGAGGAGGTTCTCAATTCGACTGTATGTTCTTTTTCTTTTTTTCTTTTTTTTTGTATGTATGTTACGCGATAACTCCGGTATTTGTGAACCGATTTTAATGATTTTTTTTTGTTGGAAAAGGGGTATTTCCATAGTGGTCCCATTTCATTTTGAACAAAATCATCCACCTCAAAGGGTAGCTGTTCACGCATGAAGATTCATTTTTATAAATAGCGCCTAACTTTAATTTAGGAGCAATTACTTTTAGCAATTATTTAGTTGATTTTGCTATTTCTCCAATTCAAGGCGTTATTCTCTCGATATACTTTGAGTAGTGTCGTAGTGAGAACCTATTTTTATTATCTCCAGTATCAAGACCTGTATAGTGGCGAACTAGGGGATATTTCAATGTAACTTGGCAAATAGACGTAATTCCACGTACTTTTGAGGTCGGTTTTTTAGTACTCTGTACTGAGATTATCTAGTGTAATTTTTCTAATCAGTATTATTAGTTGTTTAAAATTGATGTACACACGCCAGCGCATCAAGCTACACATTGACGTATCTTGTTCTGTTGCACTGGAGCCGATTTTCAAACAAAAATGTGTAGTCTGATGTGCCGTTGTCCGTACATATTTTTTCTTTCAACTATATAACATAAAGAAGCATATAGTTCGTTCACAAAAGTGTATACAATTCATAGATTAACAAATCAATAAAATCCTAATTAATGTAGTTGAATTTCTCTCGTCTAGCTTTTTTCAAAAGCGCAGGCGAGCGAAGCTAAGCTAAGTTAGCTTAGCTTACATAGCTGCATGCAACAAACTATGCGATTTAACTTGGTTACCTTAGTTCGCGGTATGAACTTATGTGTGAAAACTACTAGCTTCGCTCGCGGTGTGGCCTGCGCTGAATTCAAACCAACTTTAATAATAAATATTAGTAAATTGCGGCCGCTTTCATTATTTTTGTAGTGCACATGTGGGAACCCACGGATATCTGATTGCAGAGTCGTCAAGCCGTGGCGAGCAAGGTCCCCCTTGGCGAGGACCTCTGTCCGCCGGCCCCCGCCGAGGTCTTGCGCACGTGTGCCGAGCGCCACGCGCGCGGCCTCATGCACCCGCACATGCTGTCCATCCTCACGCACCGCCAGATCGCCTTGCCGGTCCTCATGGAGGACGACAACCACCGCGAAATACCCTCAATCCACCACTTCTTCAGGCCGATAAGGCAGAATGTGTATGCGATTCTCTACAATATGCATCATCATCGCTTTATGGCGCAGAAGGCTAAAGGTAATTTTTAATTCATGTAAGTTATCAGATAGAAACAATTACTGCCACCGTGGCCGAACGGTTACCATGTTGGACTCCCACGCAGAGGTCCCGGGTTCGATTCCCGGGCCTGGGGAAATATTTCTATGGCCTATATTTATTTCTCTCGTGAGTTTGGGTGCAATTTGTGGTTGTCTAATGTGTGTGTTCATGGAACCCGCGACACAGGGTTTCCCTAGTGCGGGGCTATGAGTGTATACGCGTTATTATTATTATTATTACATCACCACTAGTTTATTTATTTATTTATTTATTTTATTTTATTTTATTGTGACTCGGCAAAATGACTGCACCGCGCCACTAGTTGATTCTTCAGTTCTCTACACATGCAGTCTTACTTAGTACGTCTTCGAATATAAAACATGCAATTTGCTCGCGCCAACCAAAAACTAACCATAAAAAATTTCGTTGGCCAGTACAGCGAAACTTACTGTTGAACTTGCAGTTTCTTTTCGTAACCCGTGCCTCTACCACGAGTTTACTCTGACTGTTTTAGCTAACGACCGCGTAACTTACTTCGCACTTTTGTATGCAAATTATACAGCGCCCCTAGCGCTCACAAAGAAACAACATTTTGTATACAAACATTTTACTTTTAGCGTTTAACTGTCATTGTAATCTCATGGTAGACTAGATATGATGCCAGTAAATGATGAAATGGTAACCTTAATGGTGTTTTCTTATAAAAAATATTTGCGAGATTGGCGGTTCGAATTTAAATTCTAACCCTTGAACTAGTTGGAAGCTACCAACCCGCTACCAAACCCTCTCTTTAGAGGAGACCCCTGCCCAGCAGTGAGGTATAAAATGGCTTTTTTTATAATACCAAGTGATGGGACATACTGGTGGCAAGTGACACGCCTATCCGTAACAGTTGCAGTGCTTTAAATCACAAAGATCTTAGGGGCACTGCCACTGCGCGCATCACATTGAGTCATCATCGTCATCATCGTCATCATCAGTTGACAAGTCTCATGTGCCTGTAATTTCACCAGTACCGGAACCAAGCCGGAACCCGATCGCAGTAATACTCGCATTACTGCTTCACGGCAGAAATAGGTAAGCTGACAGTACTTCACTGGATGAACTCTTTCACAAGGAGCTCTACTGCTACTAAATTTGGATTGATGATGATTCTTCCACATGATCCCAAGCCTGCTTACATTACAAAACTGCCTCTTCGAGCCCTTTACCACACATGTATCATAAAGAAATCTTTCACAGTTGCTTCTAAACAGTAATCATATTGAAATTCCAGAGGAAGGCATATCCAACCCATTAGGCGAGAGAGGCTGCTCAGTGCAGATCGCTGAGTGGATCTACTCCCGAGTGAATCCAGGCAAAAGCCCGGAGATGGTGCCCGGAGTGGTGCTCGACTGGCCTGTACCCACTGTGCAGAGGCTTTGGTTCGGGTGAGCTTTGTACCTTGCTAACATGTCGCAATTGCACCCACGTTGTTTACTTATGTTGATTACATTTTTTTCAAATATCTAAGTAGTTCTAGTTCTTTCAAAAACTGGATGCAATTCAGAAACTAAAATTAATCAATAAAATCTTAATAATAATTATGGGTGTAGGGCACTTGAAATAGTATCTTAAAGAAGCGATGATTAATATGCATTGCTACAGGGATACACTTATAATAAGTGCATTATTATTGTTGTCCATCTTTGAATACATATTCGTCCTGCAATTGCTTATTACCTATTCTATGCAACACAGAACGGCTCAAGACGATAAATGCCGTCGAATGCGCGCGTTTCTCTCGTGTATGCGCTCCGACACCCCTCTCATGCTCAATACCTCGTACGTGCCGCAGCATCTGCTCATCCTCGCTACTGTTTTGAGGTCAGTTTTTAAATTATCCCAGTAACATGGTCTCACATTAGGAAATTCCATTGCAAAATACACAATAAATAAGTGTACAGTTTGCTTTCTTTATGTGATTAGCAGTGATCGGAATAGGTAGTGTATTTATTTATTTATAAGTGCTTTACATGTGTTGTCGTTACAAAAATATACTTGTGAATATACTTATGCACCTTCACAGGCATCGCAACGTGGAAAGGGAGAGAGGCAGACATTAATGCAAATTTTTCTTGAAAATACTCGGCCACATCGTAACAACGTATAGAAATTAATATTTTTTTAATACATTTCTGATTCTAATTTTAAATATTCTGGTAGTTTATTATAGATTTTTATTGACATAGGATGATGTCAGGAACTATGTGTCTTCAATTTAGACTTCGCTTGTGTGAGGTTATTTTTGTTTCGCGGGATGTAGTGCCGTTGCGTCTCACTGTATTATTAAACAATTTACCACAGACATATATCTAAATAGACACCGCAAGTACTGCGATTTGTATGAAAACGATCTTGTCAAATTTTTAGTACCTCCCATGACGTCACAAGCGCTATTTAGTGATGTGTACCCTCTTTCGGCACTAAAGCGATTGATTGACGATTTTTAAGTATAATGTTATTTTAAGAAGCCGTGAAATATTAAAATAGCAAAATAGTACCAGAATAAGGTAATAAATTCCTTTATTAATACGTGTTTTGAAAAAGAAAGTTGCTCCGGAAAACTAAAAAAATAACAACAACAAACTTTACTATGAACCGGATTTCTTCGGGATTCGGGAAATCACTTAAGTACTTTTAAAACTTGCCGTTGTTTGGGATAGGTTTCTTTTTTTTATAATATCAAGTGACAGGACGAACAAGTCGTGTGCCTGGTGGTAAGCTACACGCCTGTCCATAACTTTTGCAGTGCCAGTCATACCTTTTAATCGCATAGACCTGAGGGGCACTGCCACTGCACCTGTCAACTTGAGACGTAAGTTGACAAGTCTCATGTGCCAGTAATTTCACCAGTACCCTTATCCTTCAAAACCGGAACGCAGTAATGCTGACATTACTGCTGGGCGGCAAAAATAGGTAAGGTGGCAGTACTACCCTGGACGAACTCTTTCACAAGGAGCTGCTACTGAAGGTAGGTAGACTATATTTATCTAAACTTGACGACAAGTTTTCCACCAATATTTCGGAATATTAAGGATAATTCCGACAAAAAAAAATTTTAATCGTAAGATAGTCTCCACTTTCTGTCTCTGCTTCTTAGGTTTAGGTAAATACTCGTATACTTTGTCTATTCCGATCTCTGGTAATTAGTAATATAACAAAAAGAGTTGAACATTGACTGTATAGATATATTTTTTGTATGAATAAATGTTTACGTCTTAGTGAATATAACGGAATAATGGTAATTATATTGTCACATATTCGTATTCAGGTTTATCATGACGTCCCAAATCCAAATCCTGAGGCGGCCGGAGTTGGATGCCTTCCTGGCTACAGCTTTCTCCAGCGATCTCATGAACGCCTTGCATTTGCAAGAGATGACTGTGAGTATCATACTTTATCTTTTATGACCTGCAACTTTGGTCTCGCGAAAATGTGGTCAGTGTGCTAGTAATAATATTATTTCGACGAAACGTTTCTAGAGTAACTATTGTGCAATGCGTCAAAAAGTTTTTAACAAAATACTGGATCGATTTAAATCCCTTCCTTTGGCTACTTTTTTTTTACTTTTACAACATTTGTTCTACTCGTTTGACGAAATATAAAGGTGATTAATTTCAAATAGATGCGTACAACGATATTGTCTTGTTTTAGTCCAATCTATTTCTTAATGTATTGTATATTTGCATGCTCCTAATTAAGGCTAAATAGGATTAAGTTATCCAACCTAATTTTACCACCATCATTTATAACGTACCCACATTTATAACCAACATTTATAGTGTATATATATTTAATTAAAGAAAAAATATTCCTACTATAAAATAGATACAGTCTTATAAAGTCATAAGGCTTACAATAATTACAGCAGTCCAAAATATCTAGCTTTATAGTCCTTTGACTGTATACCAAATTAAGTTTAGTATAAGGTTTTTTTTATTTTTGACAGATTTGCTCGGTTTTTTGCCGATCGACACGTGATTAAACAAAACGATAAAATTTTAAGCAACGGACAATCGCCATCGTATTTTTTGTTGATTAACACTTGTGTGATCAGACATAAAATCGATCAAGTCCATGTGCCTGTACTGTAAGTTGGCACCTTAAGGGCGCATTTATTTGACACGAAATTCGTCGCGCGCACGACGCGCGTCACGTTAACTGCCTCCGTGGCC